AGGGTGGCTAGCATGTAGATGAGCAGAAGGGAGAAATGAACAAGACTCAGAGGCCAGTCAATCCAGGACATGCTAGGGGCCAAAGAGGAGACTACCCTGGATGAAGCAGAGGGAGTGATGGAAGACAAGGCCGCAGAACCAGATTGGAGGGGGAGGGGGGAAGAATCCTCAGTGCCAGGCCTGGGATTTGGGATTTGCGCCTATCTTAGTGGGGAGCCATGGAAGGTTGAATAGAAGCATCACATGATCAAAGTGGTCGTCCATTGGAGGAGAATCAAAGCTCATGTGGTGAGGCCTGTATGCTCAAGCCCACTGCTGCTGACATGAGGAGCTTGCTGCCGCCCATTCCACTTTGGGATGACTCAAAGCTTAGTCCCATGAGCCAAGAGAGAAGGAAACTCAACTCCAAGGTCTCTCTGTATGAAAGCCTGCTTGGCTCTGGGGCAGGACCCCTCCTCTTGGCACCCCAGGTTTGAACCTGGAGCCCAGCAGCTGCAGGCAGCATGAGTTTATGGAGAGCTGAGGGTGGGGTGGGGTGGGGTGGGGGAGTAGGGAGCAGAGAGCCAGAGGAGGCAAGTCTGAGGCCTTCTCCTCTCACTTACAGACCCCCAAAGCCCTTGCCCAACTCAGGAACACTCTATGCTCTGCCTTCCTGGACTCTTACCAGATCCTCCCACAAGGCAGGAATCGAGGGGGAAGTGTTCTCCTCTAGCCTAGAGGATATTTGTCCACAGGAGGATTTCACAGATCTAGAATCCTGACCAGCTCCTTCCACTGTGACTTGGGATGAATCACTTAGCCTCTGGCCTTCACTCTCCTCCTTTGAAAAAGGGGGTTGGCCTCTAAGCTGCTCTAAAGCTCTCAAAGATCTTCTGGTCCAACACTTCAGAGGAGGAAACTGAGGCCTGGAAAGGGAAAGCAACTTTGCCCAGGGTCACACAACTAGGAAGTGGCAGAGGCAGGATTCAAACCCAGGTCCTATGACTCCTGACTCTTGAGCTCTCCACTACACCCCACCCCACTACTTCTCCCAGGCTCAGTCCCAAGGATGACTCAAATACAAACTGAAAACTGAAGTCTTGGCCCCCCAGCCCATACCCATGGGCCCCAGAGGCCTATGGGTGTTTGTCGTTCGCCGCAGGCTGACTTCCTGCCCCAAGGTGCTCCCTCCCGAGGTTTCGAGGTACTCTCCCCCTCTACTATTTTCCGGCCACCTGGAGACGTCGCGGCTGGCTTCGTCAGATCCACTGGTCAGCGCCTGGGACTGGGGAGAGTGCGCGGGCGGGGGTTCTCCATCCCACCTCCACCACCCTTGTAATCTCTCCCTGTGGCCCACCAGACCTCTGGGGGCGGGGGGGGGGACACCTCTGGAAACAGTCTCTGCTTTCCCCCGGAAAACCCCCTCCCCCGGAGCTGGGCGCAGCTGTTTCGGATGGCTGCACTTGGTGCCTGACCACTTAATCCTATTAGCTGTTCTTTCAGGACTGTGTGCACCTTGTTACTAAGCCTGGGCCTTCGTTCGGACCGCGCTCTCCGGCCCCCAGCCCGCCCCCGCCCCCGTCTGCCTGCTCTCCCTCCCTCCTTCCTTCCCTTGCCTCGGTCCCTCTCCCTCCTCCTTCCACTCACTCTTCCTCCCCCTCTCCATTTTCTCTTTTTCTCCCTCCATCCCCTCCCATTTTTTTCCTTCTCTTCCCCTCCCCCTCCTCCATCTCTCTCTTCCTTTCCCTCTCCATTTTCTCTTTCTCCTTCCATCCCCTTTGATTCTCTCTTTTTTCCCCCTCTTTCCCCTCCCATTCTTTTTTCCTCTCTCTCCCTCTCCCTCCCTTTCCATCTCTATTTTCTTCCCTCTCTCCTTCCATCCTTCGTTCTCTGTCTCTCCCTCCCCCTCCCAGCCTGCCTCCCTTATCCTTGGCTTTTCTCCATTATTTCCTCCTGTGAGCCTGAGCACCAGGCCCCCACTTATGACAGGAATGCTTTTGAATACATTGATTCCTGAAACCCTGTAATTAATTTGGAGTGGTCCTTCCCAGCCTAGCAGGGAAGTGGAGGAGGGAGTCTTATCTCTCCCCTCCTGGATTCCTGGGTTCTTTTCAGAGTGTCTCCCCAGAAAGTTCAAAGGCATTGGCTTTGGCCTGGGGAAGAGAGAGAGAGAGAGAGAGAGAGAGAGAGAGAGAGAGAGAGAGAGAGTGAGGTCACTGGAGAGAAAAGACTTTTAGGGCCTCTCCCCAGGCCAGGGGCCTGAGGCAGGGCTGGTAGGACATAGTGAGTGTTCCCCAGAGCCTTAATCAGCCCTAAGGAGTGAGAGAAAGGGGTGCCTCTGGAATGCAGACATTGGGTTAGCTCCAGCCAGGGTCCCCCCTCTTCCCTGACAACCCTCAGACGACCTTGTTCCCGGGCCTAATGGGTCTCTTCTGAAGTACTTGGATGAAAGGGCTGGAGAGTGCGCATGTGTGTATATATTTATAGCTCATCCTCAAGACCTGAGGGGGGGGAGGGGAGAGGGAGAACTCCAGAGGGCAGAACACTCACTCTCTAGGAATGAGGCCCTCACTCAGGAATCAGTTGATGGGGGCGGGGGGGGGGGGGGGGGGGGGGGGGGGGCGGGGTTGGGGCTGCAAGTAACCAAAGATCATGGGATTTTGAACAAGAGGGAACCTTAAAGATCAGAATCTAGACTGCTCCTTTGATTTGACACTAAAGGAGATAGAGGAAATGAGGCGCAGAGAAGGGAAACCATTTCTTTGCTCTGGATCACAGTTATTAAGGAGCAGAGTTGGGATTCAAACCTGGCCTCTGACTCTAAATCCGATGACCTTTGCACTCGAACACGCAGGAGAATTTTTTTAAAGGTGCTTTTCTACCCAGTCAAACTTCCCATTGAAAATACATGTGTCATTTCAGAGCTGTCAAGAAAATCTTTGGAAATATGGATCCTTCAAAGGCTCCCCACCATTTATTGAAGTATCGTTTCTTATTCTTGGCATTCAAGGCCCTTCACTATCTGGTTCTGCTCCCCCTAGCTCTTACAGCTCCCTTTCATGTATTAAGGTTCCAGCTAAGTTGGGACTCTTTTCCATCTCCCATCCGGGTTGTCATTTTACTCACATAAGTCCCCAGTGGAACTCATCCTACCACCTGTCCACACCTGTTGAAGTTCTTCCTTCAAAACCCAACTCAGATGTCATCTCTTCCAAGAAGCCCTCTCTGACTCTTCCTCTCTAGCTAAAAGGAATCTTTCCCTCAGATTTCTCATACCTATGGATGCCCACCTTCATGCTTCTGAGAGGAAGGGTTGTAAAGTGGGGGCTTGGGAGTCAGTAGGGTTGGAGAAGATGATCAATAAGGCTCCTTCCAGCTGTAATACTCTAGGATTCTGTGGTTTCATGCTCCCTTGTCTCACTGTCCTTTGGGTCTGAGTTATTTGTGCCTTTCATACACCCAGCAAGCATAAGCACCTACTATGTGTCAGCAACTGTGCTAAGTGCTCAGAATGCCAATCCCAGGTTCCTTTCCTCAAGGAGTTTACATTGGATTAGTGGTGAAAAATATACACAGAAAAATAATTACAACATAGAAAAAGTAGGTACAAAGCATTCTTTGGGGTTGAGGGCGCTAGCAACCATCCTGTGGGGCGTCTTATTTGCAAATCTGCTCTCCTCTGAATTTGGAGTGAATTGTGGGAAACAATGAAAAAACACAGATCAGGGGACTGTTTTTCCCAGTGTCATGGATGAAGTTACTCTGATAATCATCGAATCGTAGATATAGACTGGAAAGGTCCATAGAGATCATTTAGTCCAACTCTCTCATTTTTACAGACAAGGAAATTAAGACCCTAAGAGAGGAAATGACTTACCTAAGACCACATGTTGAGAAAATATCAAAGATGAAACACAAATATAGTGAAGTTTACATTAAACCAAACAATCTGCCCATTCTTTCTCCCACCTGGTCTCTCCAATGGCCTACCATACTTACTGGCAAGATAGCCAGGCCAGGGCTAAGTGTACAAGGGATAGCCAGGGAGTGGAGCCAAAGAAATTGGCCCTCATGGGCCTCCAGCTTAAGGCTGGCCTCATTCTCACCGACAGCATGCACTAACCATTGGATAAATTAGCCTGAGCGTGATCCTGGGAAGGCCACCAGGAGGAACAGAGTTTTGAGGGACCAGGAAGTAATCCCGCTATTTCATTGTGTTTTGGTCATGCCTTAACCCAGCTCCTGCACTGGGCCTCCTTACAATTTAGAGGAGATCGATCCTGATCAGGTAACAGATACTAAGTAGTGTTTCTTGTTGTTGCTGCTGCTGCCGCTGCTGCTGCTACAAACTTGGAACACATTCAGAGGAAAGTGGGAAGATAATTATAGGGTTGGCAATTAACCGAAGAGGAAAAGTTAAAGGAGCTAAGATTATGTAGCCTGGAGAAGAGAGAACTGGTAACGGTCTGAGGATTTCAAGCTGGAGGGGGCCAACCCTCTCATTTTTATAGTTGCTTAATCTTTTCTGGCCTCAGTTTCTTCATTGATGAAATGAGGAGACTGAAAACGTAGATGATTTCTCAGGTTCCTTCCAGTTCCAAATCCCATGACCCCATGACTTTCCCACAATCTCGAAACCGATCGAGTGTTGGAACAAGAGTTGATAAGCGAGGTCTTCACATCCAAGGTCTTCATTATCCTTCCCAATTCGCCACTTCTCTTTCCCCTGAAGGACTGATGGGAAAAGTCTTGGATGGAATACCCTGGTGGTTTGGGTTCTCAGTCACTGGCAGCTGGAGCACCAGGACTCCAATCCCAGCCCTGCCTCTAAGTCACTATGTGGCCTTGGGTAGGCCTCTCTGGGCTTTTGGTCTCCTCCTCTGTAGGGAGGCGGGGGGGGGGGGGGGCGGGGTGGCACGGGGAGGCCTGGGTGATATGGAAGACATTCTCAGAATTGTAAATGATCAGCAGGCATTCAGCCAATCCACGGGGTCCTCATTGTCCTTGGTGTCTCTGTGCAGCATGGGTTGGAGCCCTGGCTATGGGAATGATCTTCTTGTGTTCCCCCATCGTGAGCATCTTCACCGACCGGATGGGCTGCAGAATCCCAGCGACAGCCGGGGCAGCTGTTGCCTTCATCGGCCTCCTCACCAGTTCCTTCACCAAGTAAGACCACGGTTACCCCAAGCCCAGTTCCCGTCCCTTCCCTCCCTGGAAGTCCTGACTCCCCAGGAGTCAGGATGGCTTTGGCGGAAGTTGGGGTGCCCATCTTCCCTGGCCTTGTTTCTCTCATGAACCCTGACCTTTATATAGCTCTCAAATAATCCATTTCTCTGGTGCTTAATTTAAGGCTTATTAAAAACTGGTCCTGTGAGGCAGCTAGTGCATGTATTATTATTATTCCCATTTTACAGATTAGAAAACTGAGGCTCAGAGAGGTTAAATCTAACCTCTAGTACTCTTTGCACCATCCAACACCATGCTAACACTCAAAACCCCTACTGAGGGCTAAGAAGAGAGAAAGAAAAGGAGGGTTCCTTTTCTGATGGAGAGAACAGGACACGTGGGACGAAAGGCTGACAGCCATTCTTGCGTCCAACCCAAGGTGGCACCTCCCCTTTCCTGCCATCGTGGACATTACCGAGAGTGCCCAAGCAGTCAGTTGGTGGGAGGCAGGGGACAGGAAGCAGACTTACAGGATCGTGGGGGTTTAGGGCCAGAAAGAGACCTTTCTCTAGTCTAAGGCTTCTTAACCTTCTTTATGTAATGGACCCTTTGGGTAGCTTAGTGATACCTATGGACTCCCTTCTCAGAGAGGGTTTCAAATGCATAAAATAAACTACCGTGGGTTACAAAGGAAAATGATTACATTGGAATGCAGTTATTTACATTTCTAGATTAAGGACTCCCTATTCTAGTCGAAATTCCTTATTTTGCACAAGAGAAAACTGAGGGCCTGCTCTGGCTAAGGTGACTTGTCCAGCCAGGCCAGAGCAAGGCTGGAATTCAAACTTCAGAGCCATGATTCTCTCCGCTGGGCCACACTGCCTCCTCTAGGATGTCATTCCAGGTCATCACGAAGCTCTTATGAGATAGAGAGCCAGGAGAACCATTCCTAGAGGAAAAGGAGGCTCACAACGGAGCAGGCCGGGATCACAAAGGCAGGAAGTAACGGAGCCCCCACTGGAACCTAGTTTCTCTGCCTCTGATCCAGTTCTCAAGGGCAGGTCAGCTCTGGGAAGAGGTGACTTTACCTCAAGGCCCTTGTTTTCCTGGCTCCCCCTCAGGTATCTTGAATTGCCACCTACAGGCCTGGATGACGGGAGTACAGGTAGAGCCAGATGTTTTCGGCAGGAGAGAGGAAGGGATGGCAATATTTAGCAGTGCGCCCTGCTGGGATCAGGCCACAGAACCCATCTGCCCCACTCCCACAGAAGCACCAAATCCATGCTGAATAAGAAGTCTGTCTACCACACACCAGACAAGGAGGGAGGCCTTTCCACTGTTCAATAGCTCTCATTGGCTGGAAGTTTTTCCTTAGAACCAGCCTCTGGGACCTCTACCCACTGGTCCCAAACAAAATGATGAAATCTGATTTCTTCCTTTTTATGGCAACCCTTCACCATCCTGGTTTGTCCTTCCCCTGTAGGAGCAATGACTCACCCCCACCCCAAGCAGTCTGGATCAGCCCCCCATTAGATAGGGGTACCTCCTAACTCACAAAGCCCTCCCTCTCCAGCTGGTATGAACGAGAGAGAAGTCAAGTCAACAGGTCTTTCCTCCAGGTGGGGAAAGAGGGGTTGTGGGGGGATTCCTTGTGTGATCCATCACCCTCCATTGATCTGGGCAGATGTGAGAGTCATCCTGCCTGGAGATGGAGGGAATGGTGGCAGTGATACAAGAGAAAGGTGGGCAGAGCTGAATACCCAAGGACCATTGGAAGAGGTCAAAGGGTAATAGGTATCATAGCCAGAAGGGACCAAGGAGATCACATAATCCAAACCTCAAAGTTTTCAGAGGAGAAAATTGAGGCCCAGATTGGGGAGGGGACTTGTCTAAGGTCACACAGGTAGGAAGCAACAGGCAAGATTTGAACTCAGCTCTCTAGACTCCAAATCCAGTGTTTTTGCCATTCTCCCATACTGTCTTTCATCTCTCCATCCTGACCAATCTCTTTCCAGAATGGCACTTGGCATTGGAACTTGTAGCCTCAAGAATAGTCATTGCTTCTTTTAAAAAAAAATTTTATTTTATGGTCCTGGGTCCTCTAAGGGTGAGCCAACTTTCTTTGTGAGTCTAACATTTCCGGCCACCCACCCGAGCTCCCACCCAACATGCCAGCAAAACGAGGATTCAGCCAGCAAAAAGGGTTTGGCACCATCCCGTCAGATTGGGACAGAAAAAAAAGGGAAAAACCCCTGGGGTGCCTGCTCTGGGCATGGGGTGGCAGGACCCTTGAAGCATCCGGCCTCATATGCCCGTCAGGGAATGCCATGCCTGGGGCATCGGCAGGATGGAGGAGGGGCCTCAGCCCCTCCACTGCTCAGCACTGAGCTGTTTTGTAAGACTGAGCAAAGTGTAAACAAATTAGGCACATAAGGATCCCATTTCCTTTCAGTCACATGGGTTCAATAATGGGGGTGGGGCACAGTGGCAGGGACTGTTTGCTGCCCCCAGCAAGAACTTGGAATTGGAGGTGTCTTGCCACTGAGCCCCTGTGACTTGGCTTTTCCTGTGAACATATGCATCATCAGAGCCAGAAATCATGGGGTGCCAGAGCTGGTTGGGCCCTCAGAGGCCATGTAATACAACTCCCTCACTTTATGGGCATTCAATAGCACAGTGGGATTTGAACCCCAGTCCTCTGCGTCCAAATCCAGCGTTCTTTCCATTACACCAATGGCCAGGTTATTTGGCTTCTCTTCCCGTGGAAAAGCAGTTTCAGCTGCTGGCAGGAGGCCCAAGTCCATCCTTCCTGCTGCATCACTCAGGATTTTGAGTCATTTCAGATGGCAAGGAAGTGGGATGAATGGTGGAGGGGGCTGTGAACGGTTCTTTGGGCCAGGGGCAGGTCTGGGTGAACTTGGGGGCTCTTCTCATCCAGGTTGGCCAACGGTGACCAGGAAGGCATCTTGTCTCTCAGTACTGGGGATGCTGGTGGGTATGTTCTGACTAGGTCACTGCTCAGGGGCCCTAAGCTTTTCCTCGGTGGACTCACAGAGCAAACTGAGCCCCAGAATTCTGGCCTTTGAACTGGATAACTTGGCAAACAGCCAAGTGGCATGCCCACTCTGGCAGTATCCATAGGGCCCAGTGGTATTTGGCTTTATCTCATTCTCACACTTCGCCTGCATCAACGGTCTTGTCCTGGGAATGCTTGGAGATGGAGTGCCATGGTGAGGGTTGCCATGGAAACACTAGTAGCTAGTTCCTCTTCCCTCTTTGCAGCACTGGCCCTGAGGTCCTTTCAACTTCACTGCTTGGGGGTGGAGGCTGAATTTCCAACAGTGGACAGATGAGAAGGGTTGCTCAATCTTCCTTAGATGGCCTAAAAAAACTCAGACAAGTTCTCATGGGGCCGGGCTAGGCCTATCTGGAAGCAAAAAGATGACCAGGCTGTAGTGGGAAGGACACTGGCTTTGGGAATTGAAGAGGGCTTTGAGTTATGTTGGCTTAAGCTTCCCCCAAGTCACTGGGAAGGGAATGGCTTCTGCTAACCAGATCCCAGACGGCCTGGACACAAGAGGCCTCCAGTTGGCCTGATGCTCACCAATGACCCCAACTCTGTGACAGACAGCACACTGTAGTGGCTGGAGCACTAGACCTGGAGTAAGGAAGACCTCCCTGGATTCAAATCCCACCTCAAACATCAGCTGCAGGATTTTGGGCTAGTCATTTATACCTCACCGGTCCTCAGTTTCCTTATCTGTAAAATGGGGCTGAACTCAATGACCTCTTCTGCCTGTACGTCTATGATCCCTGTTCTTCAATTCTTGGCAGTTAGAAGATGTCTCACCCATCCTGCCTCCAATAATGACTATCTTTCCAGCTACCCTCAGGACTAACCCTTTGTCCTTCCCCAGGGTGATATTTTTCCAAGCTTGTTGAAACTATGACCTTGCCTGCTCAGTGTATGATCTCGTTTTGAAGGAGGTGACATAGCTAGGTAGTAGCAGAGTTGAGATTCCAATCAAGGTCTCTGGCCCTGAAACTGAAGGCTGTCCCCCACTACCATCGGGCCCTCCTTGCCTTTCTGTGTTAAGCATGAGAGTGGGAGCAGAATGGGGGGCAGCCAGTGGCCCCCTTGGATTCTGGGTGGGGAAAAAGAGGAAAACGGAGGGAGGAAGGGACAGAGGGCAGAAAGGGAGGAGTGAAGGAAGCCAGCCTATTGCCCCAGAGCTAGAGAACCCTGAGATGCCTATGGCGGCCCATCTCTTTCCTCCCCAGCTCCCTGGAGGCTCGCTTCTTCACCTACGGCATCCTGTTTGGCTGTGGGAGTTCCTTTGCTTTCCAGCCTTCTCTGGTCATCCTGGGCCACTACTTCCAGCGGCGCCTGGGCCTGGCCAATGGGGTGGTAGCTGCTGCCAGCAGCCTCTTCTCCATGTCCTTCCCTTTCCTGATGAAGATGCTGGGGGAAAAGATCAAGCTGGCACACACCTTCCGGGTGCTCAGCATCTTCATGCTAATCCTCATGTTCCTCTCACTGACCTACCGGCCCCTCTTGCCTACCACTCACAACTCCCGGGCCAAGCTGGGCCGGAGCCTCTGCCAGCAGTGCATGGGCCACTTGACCAACTACTGCAACATGAGGGTCTTCTATCACAGGACCTATCGCATCTGGGCATTTGGCATCGCCACCGCCGCTCTGGGCTATTTCATCCCCTACGTGCATTTGGTGAGCCGTTCCCCTCTGTCTCAGCCAGCACGCAGGCTGGCAGAGCGAGAGCGCTGTCCTAGGTTGGGCCAAAGGGAAGGGGTCAGGGTGGGAGGGGGGACAGATGGAGATTTGGGGAAGGACATGATCGCGCTGGCTGCTGGGATTTCGAAGGCTAGCAAGGAGAAGGGGGAGACGTGTCCTACTGGGCCAGAGAGGGCAGAGTACTGTAAGATCAGCTGCCTTTGGAAGTTGTGAGGTCCTTTACTTCACGAGCTATCTGCAGGGGGAGGCTAGACGCATTCCAGGGCACTTCTACTCAGGTCCAAGTTGACCCAGATGGCATCTGAGATTGCTACCAGTTCTGAGATTTATAAGAGCCAGGGCTGAGACTGGAGGGTCCCAGGGGAAAAGAGTGGAGGAGACTGGAAGGAATGCCCATTCTAGAGTATCCCCACCTTCAGCACTGCTCCTGGCTCCCTTCTCCTGTTCCACCCAAGGGCCAACTCCCCCAAGCGCACCCCAAAAAACCAGAGGTGGGGGGTAGGGTGGAAGGGGGGGGCTGACCGAATGGACTCCCATTTCAGAAGTTTTCCTGTAATAAGGGCATTTCCCCTAAAGAATCCATGAGCCCGGGGAACTTGGTGCCAGGCCATAAGTATGCCAGGAATGAGGATGCTGTCCCTGGAAAGCTAGGTGGGAGACATGCCAGTCAGTTCACCATGGCTTCATCTGGTTTCTTTCTTCCTCTCGGGGCTGGGGGCTGGGGTGTGCATTTCAGATGAAGTACGTGGACAAGCAGTTCACCGGGGAGAAGAGGATCGAGGACACCTGGGTCCTCTTGGTGTGTATCGGGGCCACCTCAGGCATTGGACGCTTGGTGTCTGGCCGGATCAGTGACTCCATTCCTGGCCTAAAGAAGATCTACCTACAGGTGCCCAGTTGACCTTGCCCAGCAAGGAGGAATTGGGGCAGGCTGGGAGGAACAGGGGTGGGGAGGGAAGGAGAGTCCACTTTGAGGACCCCCCCCCACTCCGTGGGCGCTCAGTGGAGATTCCCACACACTCCAAGGAGAGGCAGTGCTGCTCAGCAGTTAGAGCTCCCCCCTCAGCCAAACTGCAGAAGGTTCTGGCCTCTGCTGCTGATTCACTGTGGAATCTTGGGCAGTGGAGACAATGATTGCTATCTCTCCCTACGTCCCAGGGAGAGTGTAAAAATGAAATAAGCCTCTTTGAGCTCTTCCAACGAAAGTTATTGTTAATAATTACTATTATCAGCCTTCCCATCTGGGAGGCTAAAGGCACAAGGATCAGAGTTGCCTTGACTCCTCAGTGATCAGGGAACCTAGGTTGGAGGCAGGAGGACCTAAGTTCAAATCCCAGCTCAGACACTTTCTACCCACATGACTGTGGGGCAAGTCACATTCCCCCAAAGAGCTTCAGTTTCTTCATTTGTAAAATGAGAATAAAATCCCTGTAGTACTTACCTAACAGGATTTGGAGGAGGTTCAAATAATAAAATGTATGTGAAATTTTGTAAATCTCAAAGTGTTAGATAAATGTCAAACAAAATTGTTATTATTAGAATGGAAAATTTCAGGGCTGGGCTGGGGGTGCTCCTTAGAAGATGGAATGTCAGAGGTGAGAGGATCCCTTGAACAGAGAATTTAAGAACTGGAAAAGATTTTAGTATTGGGAAGGTCAGGCTGAACAGGGAATGTCAGAGCTGGGAGGGGCCTTAGAACGTGGAAAGTCAGGGCTAGGAGGACCGTTGGACATGGAATGTTGGAGATTGAACCTTAGAATGGCAGAGAGGAGCCTTAAAACATGGAGTATCTGGGCTAACAGGGGCCTCAGAAGAGAGAACATTGAATGTCAGTGCTGACGGGACCCCCTTGCGCCTGTCGGGCCAGACTCAGGAGTCTAGCCAATTTCCAATCATTCCTTTCCATCAATCAACTGTGTTTTCCCATTGGCCCTCAGTCCTGAGTTCTTGATTATGTATTGATGTCCTTCCCATCCCCAGAGTTTGGCTCTCTGAGTGTAGATGCCAGAGTCCCAGGCCTCCAGCCCTCTCTCCTGGTAACTTGCTTGGTCAGAGCAGTCTGGCATCAGTGTCCCTGGGAGCTATTTGCTCTGAACCCAAATCAGGGTTGTTGAGGGGTCTCCAGAAAAAGATTTGGTTCCCCAGTCTCCCTGGGAGACCTGAATGGAAAGTAAGGGCTGAGATATCCTTGGGCTGGAGGAATGGAGAGGGACTTATGGGGAACCCAGCCACTTACCTGGGGAGGTAGTAGCCCCTCCTTGCAGCTTAGCACCTGCTCCCCAGAGGCATCCCTTCCTACTGGGCTCCCAAGACTTGCCTAACACCACCCCCTAGAAGAGAACATGCTGGAATAGAAAGAGCCCTTGCGTTCTGAGGCAACAGACGGAAGTTCACTCTGCTTCTATTTCTCTGTGTGACCCTGGGTGAGTCACTTCCCCTCTCTGGGCTTCAGTTTCCTTCTCTGTAAAATGGAACTCAAAAATCTTCTTATGGGCTGTTCGGAGAAACAACCGAGAGAATGGATATAAAATATTACATAAATGGAAGCTTGCCTGGACTTACCTTGGAGAAATAGTCCCTCATAACAAGAGAGCTCCCTGTGAGGTCACATCTATCGCAGAATACAATGGAATCCAACTGAGTCTCTTCAGATTCTCATAACATCCCCCCAGAGGATGGCAAGACAATGATTGCTGTCAACATCATCATCATTGTTATTATACTATTAACTCCCACCCCCATTGTGCTAGAAAGGAAATCGAATTACAAAGAGGAAAGTGCCTTGCCCAATATATTAATAAATAACTCCTTTTTACAAAACTTTAAAGCACTTCCATCACATGACCCCAGATGCCAGTTCAAGTATTACTGTCCCCGTTTTATGATGAGTATTAATTGTGATATTGACATGATTGCTAGAATTAGATGATACGATTAGAATATAATATTATTATGTTGTAATAATAATATTAGAGAGGCAGTGTACCGTAGAAACTAGTGGTTCCTCCCTCCTTGGAGCCAGGAGGCAGAGCTCCGGCCCTGCCCCTGGCTGATCCTACCCCTAGGGTCCAAGCATATCATAGATCCCAGATCACTTAGCCTCTCCTTCACAGGCATCCAAAGGGATTCTTCACCTTTTTTGTGTCCTGGACCCCTTTGGCAGTCTGGGGAGGCCTATGGACCCCTTCTCAGAATGATGTTTTTAAATGGGGAAAATAAAATCTATAAGGTTATAAAAGAAACCAAATATAGTAAAATAGTTATTAATTTGTTTTAAGTTCACGGACCTCAAATTAAGAACCTTTGAGTCTAAGACTATCATTCGAAAAATAGTTGCAAAACTGCATTGGTAGAGGGACTCTTCATACCAGAAGTTCCTTTCAAGTGATGAAATCCTAGGTACAGCCCCGCCCCCCTCCAAATAAAACAAAACAACCAAACAATTCCTGTGGTGCCTCCAGGTTTGCAAATGTTTGCCAAAGTTTGCCTCACAGCAATCGTGGGAGATAGGGTATTCAAGGAGCAATATTCTCATTTTACATATAAGGAAACTGAGGCCCAGAGAAGAACAGGTACTTGCCAGTGGTCACACAGTCAGTGGGTGACAGAGCCACAGTCTCCGAATCTGGTGGGCTTCCCATGAGATCAGGCTGGCTTGATATGCCCGTCCCAGCTGCCAGCACCTGCCTGATCCTTGCCCCAAGTGAGGCCTGACTGAGGGAGGCCCCAGTCCTGTGCAGCAGGTGGAGGATGGGAAGTGCTCAGCTCCTTGGCCTTGGGGGGACTCCCACTGGGGATGCCCAGCCTGGGGCCAGCCCTGGACCACACGTGCCCTGCCTGGGAGGATCCTCAGGGTCGGCTGGAGCTGAGGTCTCAGTCTGTTCCAAGAGGGATGTTTCATCTCAGAACCTTGGCAAGGCCTCCCGGAGGATGTTAAGAGGCAGCCAAACACAATAGGCCAGTAATTACACTCTTTAAAGTCAGTTAATGAGGCCTTTTGTGTTATATAATGATATTAACTCTTAATTGACCTAATGGGCTTGGCTGATAGGCATGTCTGTTCTTTTCTCACCTGGTGGGTTGCCTGAATCCTCGCTGGGAGGTAGGGCTGCCTGGGTTCCCTTCCTAGCACTTGGGCAGAGTTTGGGGCCTTGAGAAGTGGGGAGCCCCCAGGGGATGAGGCAATTATCTTCCTGGAGATCCTTGCCTCCCATTTCCATCCTCTGGGGCACCCAGTTGAGCCCCGGTGCTTAGCACTGTGCCTGGCACGGAGGAAGCACTTTTAATAAATGCTTGTTGACTGACCTATACCTGTGTGCCCCAAAGCAAGTCACTGTGCTGCTCAGAAAAGCCACGCCCGCACTCATCCCAGGCTTAAAGAAATAATCTTAGGGGCAGCTAGGTGGTGCAGTTTAGTGGATAGAACACCAGCCCTTAGGAGGACCTGAGTTTAAATTCGGCCTCACTTACCAGCTGTGTGACCCAGAGCAAGTCACTTAACCCTAGTGTCTCCAAAATAAATAAATAAATAAGAAATAAGAAATAATCTTAGCCAGCACTGAAAAGCACAATACTTTAACCTCAGTTTCTCTGCTATCCAGGCTGACCCAAAGACCTGGGATGAGAATGGTTTTGATTCTCCCTTAAGACACCATCGTGTGGCAGCCCTCATGGGGCAGCACTCTGGGGAGCCTCCCTCCCAAGGGCAGACTTGCCAGGAATGACAACCACACCCACCATGGGCCCTTATTAAGAGGGAGAAGCCTCTCACTGCTGGAAGGAACCTCAGAGTTTATTCAGTCTACCTGCCAGCAGCTACCCAAGTCTTCTCTCGTAATAATAGTAATAATAAAAATAATAATAATAATAATAATAATAATAATAGCACTTTAAAGTTGGCTCATTTATTCTCCCACGAACCCTGGGAGGTAGGTGCTATTATCATTCCCATTTTATAGATGAGTAAACTGACACAGCCAGAGGTTAAGTAACTTGCTCAGGATCCCATAGGTAGTGTCTGAGGCTTGATTTGAATTCTGGTCTTCCTCACTCCAGGTCTGGGGCTCTACTCACTGCACCACCTTGCCTCTAAAGCCTTCCTCAAAAGCAGATAATAGAATGACAAATCCTTGAGGGCAAAGGTTGTTTCATATTTTGTCTTTGTTTTCCAGTCTAATAGGATGCCTGGCACAGGGTAGGTCTTGGTAAAATGCTTGAATTGAAAGCATTGGAAATTGAAAGCCTGCACTTGAGTACCTCCAGGGACAGAGAGCTCACTCCTTTGTAAAAGGCACCTCATTCCAGTCTGGGGCACCTGTAGTATCAGGAGGTTGTTCATCTATATTAAGTTAGAATCTTCCTGTCATAGGATCATTGACTTAGATCTGGAAGCAAACTTAGAAACCATTGAATCCATCTCCCTTGCTTTACAAATAAGGAAACCGAGGCACAGAGAGGTTAAGTAAGTCACCCAGGGTCACACAGCTAGGGAGTGTCTGAGGTGGGATTTGAATGCAAATCTTCCTTGACTCTAAGGCCCTCCCTCTCCCCTACACGATTAGGCCTCATAACTAGAACTCACTGCTTCCATCTCTGCCCTTGGGGCCCCAGAAGAACAAACTTCTTTTGCTATTCCACAGACCTTCAGATACCTACTTCATCTGCCTTGGGCCCCCAAGTTCTCCTTTTGCCAGGTTACACATCTGCAGCTAACACAAGCAACCCTATGGCATGGAGGCCATCGCTCTTCCTGGCATGGTTGCCTTCCTCTAGACATGCATGCTGTAGCATGCCCATGAATATGGTGCCCAGAATGGACCGCAATATAGTACATGTGACCTGACCTGAGCAAGGGCAATCCACTCCTCACTCTGGCTCTGGCTCTGGCTCTGGCTCTCTCTCTCTTCTCTGTCTCATCTCTCTATCTCTCTAAATCTCTCACTCACTCACTCTCTCTCACTCTTTCTCTTTTTCTCTCCCTCTCTCTCTGTCTCTCTATCTCTGTCTCTGTCTCTCTGTCTTTCTCTTCTCTTTCTCTGTATCTGTCTCTGTGTCTGTCTCTGGATCTCTGTTTCTTCTCTGTCTCTCTCTGTCTCTCTCTATTCTCCATCTCTCTCTGTCTGTCTCTTATCTGTCTCTCTCTGTGTGCCTGTCTCTGTCTCTCTCACTCTTTCTCTTTTTCTGTCTGTCTCTGTCTCTCTCTTTCTCTCTCTCTCTCTCTCTCTCTCTCTCTCTCTCTCTCTCTCTCTCTCTCTCTTCTCTGTCTCTCTCTATGTCTTTCTCTGTCTTTGTTTTTCTCTCTTATCTGTCTCTCTCTGTGCCCGTCTCTCTCCTCTCTGTTTCTGTCTCTGTCTCTCTCTGTGTCTCTGTCTTTGTGTATCCTTCTCTGTCTGGCTCTCTGTCTCTCTGCCTTTTCTGTCTCTGTGTCTGTCTCTCCATGTCTGTCTGTCTCTGTGTCTCTCTCCATCATGCTTCATTATGTTCATACAACCTAAGAGAGAGTCCATGGTTTTTTTCAGCTGCATCTCTTTTGACTCACATTGTGCTAACAGTCAGTCCCCTAAAGCCCTCTGAGTATTTTCCACACAAATTATTGTCTAGCCATGGCCACCGTCATCTTAGATTTTGCTCTGAGGACATTCTGTTCAGCCCGAGAGAAACGTCAGACTGACCAGCTTTCCTTGCTTCGTATCATGGCCCCAGCCTCCTTGGAGTGAAGTGGAATTCCCTGCAGGTCTCTGTGGTTACCAACTTCCATAGGAAGCTCCTATGAAACCCTCAACCAAAGCCAGGAGGAGAGTGTCCCGCCCAACCACCCAAGATAGACCCAGAGGTGCCAGGCTCTGGCAAAATGCCTGCTGGGCCACACATGCTTATGCCAAATTTCCTTGGGTTTGTTTCCTGCAAAAGCAGCAAAGGCACAAAAATGGTAGAGGGCCCCCTGGTACCTTATTTATCCTGTTCTTGAAGCCAGGAGAATCAGCCCACATCTCCTGGGAAAGTGCATGTCCTGATGCAATGCTGACTAGAGCCTAGATGTGCTAACACGCCTTGAAAAACAGCTCTCCCCTCCCCCGTCCCGATATCTTTCAGCCCACAGGACATACATGCCTTTTCCAGAGGAACCCTTATGATCAAATGAGATATTTGTAAAGCAATTAACACGGTGCCTGGCAAATACTAGGTGCTTAATAAATGTTTATTTCCTCCTTCTGTCTCCTCATTTATCATTCAGAGGCTATACTCGTAGACCCATAGACTGGGAGGGACCTTAGAACCCAGTAGAAAGTCAGGGCCAGGGGGACTTTAGGACTCAGAGGATGGCAGAGTGAGGAAGGTCTTGGAGGTCTCTAATTATTTGTCAGGGACTAAATCTGGCCCTTAGCTACCTGTGCTGCCTGACCCGCTTCCTTCCTTCTTTCTCCAGGTCATCGCCTTTATGCTCCTGGGCCTCATGTGCATGATGATCCCTCTGTGCAAGGGATTTGGCGGCCTCATCGTCGTCTGCCTCTTCCTTGGCCTGTGTGACGGCTTCTTCACCACCATCATGGCTCCCGTTGCCTTTGAACTCGTTGGGCCCATGCAGGCATCTCAGGCCATTGGCTACCTACTAGGCATGATGGCACTGCCCATGACTGCCGGGCCCCCCATAGCAGGTGAGGCTGCCCACCCAGAGAGGGTGCTTGTGCCCATCTGAGCACCTCTGCCTAAGGCCTGTTGGCATTTCTTAATGCACTATATGATCTTAGCCATGCTGGCACATGCTGGGGGAAGCCCTTAGTGATTCTGCCATCTCAAACTAAACCATATTAGAATTCTAAGAAGCCAGGTAGCAGGGCACATCCAAAGACTGTTTAGCCAAAGTCCTCTTCCAATACCTCAGCCTAGCCCAAGGGTGACCCTGGGATCTCCCAGGCTGTGCCAGGAGAGTCCAAGGACCATCCACTCCTCTCCAGCCGAGGAGGCTTCCAGCCTCGGCCCAGACTGTAGGTGATGCGTGGCAGAGTCGGTCCGGTGAAGTACCAGGGACCGCGTGTTTGGGATTCATTCCAGCTCCTTCAGTCCTCTCAGGCAGGGACGCCTTGGGACCTGCACTGGCAGATGGAGCCAGGGAGCCCTCACCCACATGAACTCCCCTCTTCTTGAGGGACTGAATATAGTTAGATTGAACTACTGGGGAGCCAGGGTGGAGAGCAAATCTGGTTATTCGATTCAAATGACTGAATAGCAGAAGGGGTTGGGGTTGGGGGGAGAAAGGAGGAACCTGGTTGTATTTACTAATTACCCAATAGACAGAGAGGCAGCCAGAGAGGAAACATGGTTAGGTAGGCTTAAATAGCCCGCCTCTGATGCCAGCTCCTGCCAGGCTAGAATGACTGCCCAGCCACGAACTGCCGACCCAGCAGAACCATACCCAGTGATTTTGGCACTTGGGGCAAGCAGCAGAAACCACAGCCTCAATTCCAGGGTGGGGGAGGTAGAGGAAGAGATTCTGGAGCAGAAAGCGGGGGGCTGCCGATCCGGCCACTGAGGGCGTTGTCGAGGACAGAGCGAAGTAGGGTGAGGTGGGTCTGGGCAAGCGATTCAACAGGGGCATGGTGGCAGTTTGTGGTGAGGAGGGAGGAAGCTTATCTCTAGCAGCTTCCTGTTTCAACTCTTCTTTCTAACTACGTGCTAAGTTAAGCTGTTTCTATACTGCTGAATGATTGAAAGTGCCACCATCGCAGTCTCTCTAAATATTGACACCCTAGTGCAAGGTTCTGTTCATCCCACCCTAGGCGCATCTCCGTTGGCAGTATTTTTGGCCATATTGACCAAGGTGTAGATGGGTTAGGACATGCATGGGTAGAGGGTATGCCCACCCAGATGAAATCACAGAGCCTTTAGATACTGCAATATCTTCTGAGGCTCTTTCTAGGCCTCAGGTGTGTGGGGAGAAAGGAGGAGGGAATGCAACTAAGTGGCATCACAAGTCTGCTATCCACTGATCTCATTCTGGGTGTGTGGCCATGTACACAGCTAATCTAGAGAGATGTGGGGCAGCCACAGCGTCTGGGTTATTGAGGCACACTGGTGACCTCCTGGTACTTTGGACAGGGCTTGTGAATTAGCCTTAGCAGGGGCAGGCCATGAGCCAGGGCTAATACAGGCGATCTCTCGAGTGATGTTAGGAAAAGGGGTGTATCTGTGTCTCACAATCTCCCTAGGACCATCCCTAGTATCCAAAGGGGCCTTGCTGTTGCCCTAGAATGAGTAGCATGGAAAATCCTGCAGTGGAAAACATCCTGGCAGGGGTAAAAAAAACAGGACACCTTCTTAAAATCCCCCAGCAGGGTGTCAGATATCAGGGCCTGAATCGACCCTAGGGGCTATCTTGTCCAAGCTTCTCACCGTACTCAGACATAGAAGCAGGGCCCTTTCCAAGGATCTTAGGACATAGCGTGTCCAAACTAGGAGGGCCCTTATGATCCAGGTGGGTAGAGGTGGCAGGGATGTGGTCATTGAGGCCAACATCCCTGTTTTAGAGGAAGAGCCTGGAGTCCAGAGAGGGAAAAGGATTTTCCCAAGGAAAGGTCCCAGTCAAGACTTGAATGCAGACTAACTACCAAGTCCCAAAATAGACTGTCTGAGCTGGGAGGGATCTTAGAACAGAGAGCAGAGATTGTCACAGCCAGGAAGGATGCTATCACATCGACATAGTATGGGGTAGCGGACAGAGCTCTAGACTTGGAGAGCCTAAGTCTTCCTAGCTCGTTTTACTCCCTCCACCATTACCCCCGAGAGCCTTCGCTTTAAAAGGGGGCCCAGGGTTAATACAGATGGTCTCTTGAATGGTATCAGGAAAGGGGGTAGGCCCCGACAGGCGACCAGAAGCCATGATCAAGTTTCTTCTTTGCCACAGGCTCTGCTGAAGCTATCCTATCTCATCTGGCCCTACTAGGCCATTGCCTCTCTCCTAAGGAAGGAAGGAGATGAGCACTTATTAAGTGCCTGCTATGTGCCAGCCACTGCACTAAACGCTTTCCAAATAGTATCTCAGATGATGCTCACAACAACCCTAGAATGGGATGCTGATTTCATCCCCATTTTACAGTTGAGAAAACTAAGGCAGTTAAGTGATTTGCCCAGGGCTGCATAGCTAGGAAGTGCAGGCAATCAGAGTTGAACCCCAGTCTAGTTCCAAGAGTCGAGGAAGGGAAGATCAGCTCTTTATGCCCTGGAAGCCCAAGGCCACAGCCTCAGCCTATCGCAATCAATTCCATCGCAAACTGGAGCTGGGCACCAACACCCAGTCTCTCTCTAGGAAAGAGCTTCCCCCTTTTCGGTTCCTTTTTGTCTGGAGTGATTGACGTGAGCTTTTCTAGGCAGTTCCCAGATTGCCCAGTTCTGTCCCCACTCTGGGTCTCACATTCCTCATTTTCAGACACAAGAGAAAAATTGAGTGACCTGCCCAGGGTCACATAGCCTGTAAGTGCCTGCGGTGGGATTTGAACCTAGCTCTTCCTGACAAGTCCAGTTCCCTAAACGTTATACTACACTGCCCCTAAGACCCTTTCTAGCTCTGACAATCTATGCTCTGAGTTCTGAAGTTGCGCTCAGTTCTGACATTCCTTGTTTTAAGCCCCTCCCAGCTCTGCCATTCCCTGTTCCAGGATCCCTCCCAGCTCTGCCATTCCCTGGTCCAGGATCCCTCC